TTGATTCAAGCCTCATACAAAGTCAATGGGAGCCAAATCTTGAAAATAAATGCTGGCTATTTCTAAGGCTAATAGGCAACAGATAGGACATGGTGAGCTGGGCACTGCCTTGGTGGTCATGTACCAATGCCAAAACAAAATGTAAAAAGTAGTATTAAGCAGAGCGAGGAACCTCTTATTTTTGCAAAATTTTGAGAAAATTTATGGCAACATTCAGAATCACCATTTTTTTTTATGTTATATTTTCTGCTTGCCTTTAATATAACATTAGCCACTCCCCAATTCTTATAACTAGGAAAATTAGCTTTTCCAGGGACTTATGAATAGACATAAAGCAGGGTGCAAAAAACTTCAAAGAAGTTTGGATACAGAAACTAAGCCCATTGAAATTTTAAGAATCAAATCTGCAACATTAAAAATATCCAATTTCTAGGGTAATAGGGAAGGGGTGTAGTAAAAATAGCATGGGGGGTGGGCACTGCCCTGGGGGACATGTACCAATGCAAATAATTTTTTCTTAAATTTCATTCAGGCCAGGAGCAGTGACTTTTTTTTAAATGTTTAAGGTAAAACATTAAAAACGGCCATACCTACTATCTGAAGGGGTGATCTCTGTGATAGAATGTATATCACACAGCACTTTCCCATAAATATGCACCACAAGCATTTGGTTCATCACAAGCGGTGAAGAGATTAAATTTTGAAAGGCTTTGGGGAGGGATATTTCAACCCTCCCTGATCCAAGAGGACATTGGAATGGGGATCTCTGTCACCATCCAAGAGGACAAAGTGCCTCACTGGATCCACTATTTTGTTGGCATAGGGGAAGACATGGGAATAGGTTGTCCATCAGCCCAAGTCTTGGTTTGCAGATTTGCTGCTTAACCTCTTCCCGTTCAGTGACATACCAATATGTCGCTGGACTTTCAGTGCTTATACTGGGATGATGCCTGCAGCTATAAGTGGTCTGATTAACACAAGTTAAAGTTTAAAGTCTATAGATAAAAAAAAAATGATACAAATGAAAGTTGACTATTTCAAATAATCAGAAATATTTTGCAGACTCCCCCTATGTAAGCACTTTTACAAGGCCGCTATTGAAGGATTGAAGTGAGAGAGGAAAAAAAATTAGAATGTACTATTTCATTGAATAAAGACAAAAAAAAAAGTTCAGTTCATGCACACAATGTGAGGTGCCTAAATGGGCAGCCTTTTCACAGGGTAACAACAGACAGAAATATGATCAAGAAATCTAAATTAAGAATTGTCATCCGCTCTCTTCTCCTGATTATGGGAATGTCGATTGGGTGTGGGACTAAGCAGAAGCAATAGTAATGTTAGGTTGTTCATTTTGCATTGTTGAAGTTGTTCTGTTGTGGACCAGGTTATGCCCCAAGGCCATGTTTTGTACTTACCTTTTTTAAAACTTCAATAAGCAGAAGTTTAAAAATAAAAATAAATTTAAATTAGCGTGACAAAATGGCAAACATTATTGTACTAATTCCTTTCAGTATTTTTGGTAGGGTGCATTTTGAACAGGACCCACACCAGCCAGGTTTTATTAAAATATTACAATGTACTATTTTTTTCTGAAAAAAGTACTAAAAGTATTCTACATGCACAGACTTTAAACACTTTGACTATGCCCTATTTTTGAACAGAACCCACACCAGCCATTTAAAAATAAAAAATCATCAATAGTGTGTAAATATTTTTAAGTAAAAGCCCCCAAAATATTCACAGGCCTATGTAGGCAATATTTAATCTCTTAGTAAATCCTATTTTAATCAGGACTAGCACCAGCAATTTTCTCATAAAGAAATCAACATTATAATGTAATATATTCACAGAAACATTTTACTGAAATAGTTTTGTGCCTTTGTACCCAGTAATTAGTGTATCAGGCTCCATTTAGATTAGAAGGTCCCACCAGCCATGATAAAATCAGGAAATCAGTATTACACTACACACCAGCTTTTTATGGGCACTATTTTTACAGGTAGAGAACAGGCATTATTTATAATGAAATAAAAATTATGGCGTGCTGCTAGCCAAGGCTTGTGGTTCACCCTTCACACCTAGTAGCAAAGGGCTCTGCTACTTACCTCGAACATTTTTTTTCATTTGCCAATGCAGAACCTTCTCAATCCCAACAAATTGCATGCGCATAACATCTGTTTCAAGCACAGTATATACACAGTATTGAATTACTGTTGGTAGGCCCCATTTAAACAGGACCCCCAACAGCCCTTATAAAATCTAGAAATCAACATTCAAATGTCATTTATTCTCAGCCCAGGAAAAAAAAGCCCAGAAATTAAATATTTTAGCTACTCTTGCAGTACAAAACATTTTATCACTAGGCCCCCATTTGAACAGGACCACTGACAGAAACAGCAAAGCCTACAAATCAATATTAAATTCTAATTAATTCCAAAGAACATGCCAAGAAAATAGTGTATTGCCTACATTCCCAGTATTAATTGTTTGCGCTCCAGCAACAAGTTGAATTGGTCAACCAACAGCCTTTTTAAATCCAGAATTAGCAGTACATTATCATTTTTCCCAGAAAAAAACACTCTAAACATTGTAGTGAGTACCTTAGTTTTTTTTTTTGCACTCAAGACCCATTTTGAATAGGACCACCAACAGCCAACTGTACCTTTTGAGATCAACTTTACAGAGTAAGGGCAGCACAGTGGGTAAGTGGTAAGCACTTCTGCCTACCAGCACACTAGGGTTGTCAGTTTGAATCCCAACAACAGCACTACCTGCCTGGAGTTTACATGTTCGCTATATGCCTGTGTGGTTTCCTCCCCCACTCCAAAGACGTGCTGGTAGGTTAACTGGCTCCTATCTAAATTGGCCCTAGTGCATGTATGAATGTGAGTTAGGGACCTTATATTGTAAGCTCCATGAGGGCAGGGAGTGATGTGAATGTACAATATACACTCACTAGCCACCTTATTAGGTATACCTTTGCTAGTGCCAAGAAAGTATCCCCCACACCATTACACCACCATCCTGAACCATTGATACAAGGCAGGATGGATCTATCTTTGGAATGTTGCAGCCATCAGTCTTCCCATTCTCCTCTGACATCAACAAAACAATTTTGTCCACAAAACTGCTGCTGACTGGATATTTTCTCTTTTTCGGATCATTCTCTGTAAACCTTAGAGATGGTTATGTGTGAAAATCCCAATAGATCAACAGTTTTTGAAATACTCAGACCAACCTGTCTGGCACCAACAACCATGCCACATTCAAAGTCACTTAAATCGCCTTTCTTCCCCATTCTGATGCTCAGTTTGAACTTCAGCAAGTCATCTTCAGCACGTCTACATGCCTAAATGCATTGAGTTGCTTCCATGTGATTGGCTGATTAGCAATATACTCTATGTAACCAAGGAATTGAATAGGTGTACCTAATAAAGTGGCCGGTGAATGTATGTAACCTTAAGACCATATGGATAGAAATACTATCAATAATGTGAAGTGCTGCTTGATGGCACTACATAAATATCTGTAATAAATATTTATTCCCAGAAAAAACACCCCAAGTATTGTAGTGAGTACTTTCCAAGTCGTAATTTATTTGCACTTAATCCCAATTTTGAATAGGACCACCAACAACTGAAATGATGAATAGTGAAGTTTACATTTAATTATTGGAAATACCTGTTTCTCATAAACTTATATATTATGTCAAGAGTTATTATTTTAGCTCCACATGGAATGGCTTGTTTTTCTGCTCTCCTTAAAAGCCAGCTTTTAGACCTCACAGTTGTTGCCAGGTAAAAATTAGTTATAATTTAACCACTTGCCCTCCAGAGGATTTGCCCCCCTTCCTGACCAGGCCATTTTTTGTGATACGGCTCTGCGTTACTTTGACTGACAATTGCGCAGTCATGCAATGCTGCACTCAAATTAAATTTATGTCCTTTTTTTCCACAAATAGAGCTTTCTTTCAGTGGTATTTGATCACCTGTGTGTTTTTTATTTTTTTGCACTATAAACAATAAAAAATCAACGATTTTGAGAAAAAAAAATATTTATTTTACTTTTTGCTATTAAACATGACCAGTAAAAAAAATTTAAAAATCAAATTTCATCATAAATTTAGGCCAAAATGTATTCTGCTCCATGTAAATTAATTGGTTCACGTGAAAGTTATAGCATGCAAATGGAGGTATATGGAAACTTTTTTTTTCTTTTACCGTGTTTCCCCGAAAATAAGACAGTGTCTTATATCAATTTTTGCTCCCAAAGATGCGCTAGGTCTTATTTTCAGGGGATGTCTTATTTTTCCATGAAGAAGAATACGGTACACATTTATTGTTAAATGAAAATAAAGGAAATTTATTACCTGTATACGGTACGGTAGTACGGTAGTTGTCAACACAAACCAGACAAACTGTGAATCCTACAGTATCAAGAATTAACTCATTTATTCAATGACAATCATGTCATCATCTTCTGGAACATCATCATAACAATCATCATAACAGGCAGTGTCACCAGAGACAGACCAGCACTCACCACCTTCGCCAAGTCCGCTCACTCCGACCTCCTCTCCGCCTCCACACGGCAGTGACGTCAGGACTCCGCGTAACATCACTGGTTGCTAGACGCCAGACGGGGCAGAGCCTAGCCTAGGGGGGCCTTATTTTCGGGGGGATGCCTTATATTTCACCCAGAAGGAAACCTGTAAGTAGGTCTTATTTTTGGAGGATGTTTTGTTTTCGGGGAAACACGGTACTAGTAATGGTGGCCATCAGTGACTTATAGCGGGAATGCGGCAGGCATTCTGACACTGGGGGGGTACTGATTTGGTGTCACTGACATCTCCAGTGACACCAATACAGTGATCAGTGCTGATAAAAAAACACTGACACTGTAGTAATGGCACTGGGCAGGATGGGGTTAACAAGTGGGGTGACCAAATGGTTAACTGTGTGCTGTTTTACTATGGGGGCTGTGTGTCTGTTTCACTGTAAGCACACTACTTCCCTATGCAGAGCCATACAAAGCAGTGTGCAGGAGCTGACAGGGGAGAGATCTGTATTGTTTACATACAGGTCTCTCTCCCATCGGAGATACTCGGCGATCACCGGGTGCCAGCGAGTAATCACTGGCCAGGACCCGGTGATTGACAGCTGAGGCCTCGAATGGCGGCGCGTGTAGGGCCCTATCCAGAACTGCAGAATCACAAATATATGCATGATTTTGCACAACCCTGCCACACTGTAGCAGTATTTCTGCTATAGGGTGGAGGAGAAGTCGTTAAGTAGTGAAAAACAGTATTTGTTTTGATTTTTACAAAATTTTTGAATAAGAAGTATTAAAATTTAATTGAACTCCAAAAACTGTGCCAAAAAAAAGACAGGCACTAGTCACCAGTATTGCCTGTTGTCTCCTCACAGCTGCTTTTTTTTTCCCCCATTAATGGTCCCATTACCATGCCTTATTCCACACTGTGTCTGTTTTGAGGTGGCCATCTTGGTAGAAAAATGGCTTCAAGTTAGAGCCTCCAGCAAGGAGAACAGTGAGCAGCACATTATTGACATCCCAAAATCAAATGCAAATCTCCCAAGATTAGGAGTTGTAGGCAGCAATGCGTTAGATGTCCTACTGCAAATATACAGCTATGCCTAGGCACTCTCAAATACCTGGAAGTGCACTACTATTTTTAATTTTTTCATTATGCAGTTTAGTCACAATTAACATTTCATCTTCCCCATTGCATAATAAATCTTCACTGGGGCAACTTTAAAATACTGCGTGATTTGGAAAAATAACACAAGAATAACTTGAGATAATTCCTTTTGTAAATTTCTGTACAGATAATGAATATAATGCCCATAAAGCACATACCACCTGTACTAAAGCAGAATATTGTGTGATAAAGAATACCACTGGATCCATTTTTATTTAAAGTGGAAGTTTAGGCAAAACTTAACTAAGGCTAATCTTACTTCCACCCCATTCTAAACTTATTCTATCTAACCCTGTAAAGAAAAGATCCCTATACTAACCTATTCTGAAGCCACTCCGGTTCGGTCTACAGCAGCAGCTTCTGTGTAGAGAAGAGATCACCGCCAACGTCTGGAAATGCCTGGGAGATTACATCACCCATAGACTCACCATGAGGTATCTTTTGTCGGCTGTCCCTCTTCTGCACAAAAGCCACCACTGACAGCTGATCCTGGAACTGGACTAGAGTGGCTTCAGAATAGGTATGTATACAGATCTTTTCTTTACAGGGCGAGATAGAATAGGCTTCGAATGGGGATGGGAGAAAGTTTACCCTTAGTTAGGTTTTGTCTGAACTTCCACTTTAACTGCTGCAGTAGGTCTGTGGTTTACTCTGGTTAACTCCTAAGCAAAACCAGGGCTGCTTAGGAATTACATCAAAATAACTATTCATACATTATTTATTTAATTGCTTCCCCCTGATATGCAAGCATACACTGTGATTTTACATTTGGGGTACATTTCAAAATTTACTGTAATTTTAAGAGCTGGTAAACATTTGATTTATTAGCTTAATCTTAGGAAAGACCTGCAAAATATTTTTCTCCTTTATATAGGATTTTTTTTTTATTTTTAATTATATCTTTATAAATTTTTTCCAATACAAAATCCACTATATAACAAACATCATATAACACGTATCTACCATCTTATCCTTTTTCTTCTCTCCTATCCTTCTCCATACTCTTATTTCTATTACTTCCTTGTTCTTTACACTCCAACAGCTTCTAAATATCTTTTTGATCTTTTAAAATCGTAACAACTACCCTAAGATTATTTAAATTTTTCAATTTTGTCTTCATCTATATGGTATAGTTCCTTCATCTTATGTATATACTCCACTCTAGTTATCCAATCTTTTATTTTAGGGGGCTCTGTTGCTTGCCAGACTTTAGGAATAATGCCTTTGGCTGCATTTATTAAGTGATATAATATTGTGTTCTTTAAGTGCTTTACAGACATCTCAGATATGTGAAAGAGACAAATCCCCAGATCTAGTGGTATACTAATCTTCAGTATCTCCTGTATGTATTGAATTATCACCAACCAGTACTCCTGTATTTTGGGGCAGAACCACCAAATGTGTGCCATTGTTCCCTTACTCCCACACCCTCTCCAACACAGAGGTGATACCTCTGATCTCTGCTTATGTGCTATATTAGGTGTGATATACCTTCTTACAAGACATTTATAATTCATTTCAACTGTTCATATAGGAAATATTTTTAATGTAGAGAAGCTGCCTGTTCACAGTACAGTGAATACAGTGAAGCAACTGGGTGTCCCTTAGATTTGCACATTGCAGTAGTATGCTTGACAGTGACTAAATCCAAACATCTGTCCACTTGTCATTATCACAGTAGAAGAAGGTCATTACAAAGCAAGCATGCTTCCTTTCTTTAAGAGACATTGGCTATATCACATAACCTGCATGACAATATATTGGCTTAATCAATTAACACTGTGAAATTCCATTTAAGTCAAGACAAAGGAATCATACTGGACTGGCTTCTGTTCCAAAACATCTACATCTGTAAAGGTGGAGTAAAAGCAATTAACATATAATATCTGTTATTTCCTGTTGACTGCAAAAGACTATGCTGAATGAGAAGGGAAACTCCAGGATTGAAAAGGACAATTATGGCATGATTGAATTTTAGATAGCTTGGGGACAGGGTCTGGTCACATTACCTAAGAGGTATGTTTACTGAGAATTCCCCTCAGCATTGTTGTTATTATTATTATACAGGATTTATATAGTGCCAACAGTTTGCTCAGCGCTTTACAATATAATGGGAGACAATACAGCAACAATACAGATCAATACAAGAGCGATAGGAGGGTCCTGCTCCTCTGAGCTTACAATCTAGGATGGAGGGGCTAGTGATACAAAAGGTAATAACTGTGGGGGATGGACTGGTTGGAAGAGTAGAAGATTCCATTATTAGCTGAGGGCAGGATAGGCTTACCTGAAGAGATAGCTTTTCAGAGATCGTCTAAAAGTGAGTGTGGAGCATTGGGTGTGTGGGTGTTTTGAAGGGGTTTCCTCGAAAAAATGGTGTTCCCCTCTCAAAGCACTGGTATCCAGAATTTACTGGCATTAGGTTCTTCAGCACCTTTGCTTCCCAGGAGTACCAGCAAGGAAACCCCTCTATCCTCAGGAGAAATACAGGCTGCTCTGAAAAAAGACGGTGTGGTTGTTTTTAGGAATTGCCAGAAAGAAGCCTTTACTGCTCCAATACCACAAAAAAAACCCAGTGAGGCGTGTCAAGTTTTTGTAGGGCATATTGTGACCAGGCTTTTTTGTGGAAGTGGCACAGTAAAGGCTTCTTTCTGGCAACTCAACCATGTAGATAATTTTAGTTCAAGTACCGTCATATTGTGCTCCTTAAAAACAACCACACTGTCTTTTTCCAGAGCAGCCTGTATTTCTCCTGATGTTACCTATGGGTTTTTCTTTGTATCCCTAACAATTCTTCTGGCAGTTGTGGCTGCAATCCTTTTTGGTCTACCTGACCTTGGCTTGGTATCAAGAAATCCCTGAATTTTCCACTTCTTAATAAGTGATTGAAAGTACCGACTAGAATATTCAAGGCTTTGGATATCTTTTTATATCCTTTTCCTTCTTTATAAAGTTCCATTACCTTGTTACACAGGTCTTTTGAGAGTTCTTTTTTGCTCCTCATGGCTCAGTATCTAGACTGCTCCGTGAATCCATGTGAGAGCTAACAAACGCATTGACTATTTATACACAGACACTAATTGCAATTTAAAATCCACAGATGTGGGAAATTATCCTTTACTTGCCATTTTAGCCTGTTTGTGTCACCTTGTGAGTCTAGACCAAAGCCAAACATTCCAGGGGAAGGAAACTTTTGATCCGGGCCATTTGGGTGATTTCTTTTATCATTATGATTTAAAAAGGAGCCAAACAACTATGTAATAATAAATGGCTTCATGATCACAACCTTTAATAAAAGACAGTTCTTGGCATGAACAGTCATCTTTTCAATAGCAATGCCAACATTTCACGATTTCTGCCAGGGTAAGCAAACGTTTAAGGACAACTTTACATTTACTTTAGAGCAGTGGTTCTTAACCTGGGTTCGATCGAACCCCAGGGGTTCGGTGAGTCAGTCTCGGGGGTTCGGCGGAGGTGACCCACACCCGACTCATATGATTTGTGATGACATGCCCCGCTTGTCCATCATTGGCTGCAGGTGGTCACGCAACATCGCTTAGCCAAGTGGTCGGCAAGCCGCGGCTCTTGTGTACCGGGCGCCCGCTCCCCTCCCTCCTCTCGGGCGGCAGGGACTCAAATGCAATGATTGGCCAGTCTCGCTGCCACTCACATCCTGATAGCCAGTGATTTGGCTGTCAGGATGTGTGTAGGCGGGGCAGCGTGACGAACGTGAGAGGAGCTAGGCTCCTCTCACAGTCCGCCCTGAAGACCGGAACGGCGCGGGAATACAGCGAGAGGAACGCGCGGAGCAAAGGTAAGTGAATTGACACAGGGGGGACTTGGGGACTTAATATGGGGAATGAATTACTATAGGGGGGATGAATTACTATATGGGGAATGAATTACTATATGGGGGATGAATTATTATATGGGGGATGAATTACTATATGGGGGATGTATTACTATATGGGGGATGAATTACTATATGGGGGATGAATTACTATATGGGGGATGTATTACTATATGGGGGATGAATTACTATATGGGGGATGTATTACTATGGGGGATGAATTACTATATGGGGGATGAATTACTATGGGGGATGAATTACTATATGGGGGATGAATTACTATATGGGGAAGGAATTACTATAGGGGGGATGAATTACTATATGGGGGATGAATTACTATATGGGGGATGAATTACTATATGGGGGATGAATTACTATATGGGGGATGAATTACTATATGGGGGATGAATTACTATGAGGGATGAATTACTATGGGGGATGAATTACTATATGGGGGATGAATTACTATATGGGGGATGAATTACTATGGGGGGATGAATTACTATGGGGGATGAATTACTATATGGGGGATGATTACTATATGGGGGATGAATTACTATGGGGATGAATTACTATGGGGGATGAATTACTATATGGGGGATGAATTACTATAGGGGGGATGAATTACTATGGGGGATGAATTACTATATGGGGGATGAATTACTATATGGGGGATGAATTACTATGGGGGATGAATTTTCATACCGTTTGTTACAACATATCTTTGCGAGCAATCCTTTTCGAGGATGCTGGACATAAAGACGAAGAAAAGGAACAGACTTTGTTGCGAAAATGACATGAGAGTGGCACTTGCCAAGGTAATGCCGCGCATTTCTGAACTGGCCTCTGAAAGACAACAGCAGAAGTCACACTGATTTGCGGTAAATATTCATTATTTTGTTTTTGTGTGAAAATCATGTTTTAATGGTTTTGTTCTTTGTTCTTAATGGTTTTGTTCATTTTGTGCACCTATGTATAAATATATACCTATGTTTTGAATTTTAAAAATCATATTTTATTTTTCCAATTAAGAAGGGTTCGGTGAATGCGCATATGAAACTGGTGGGGTTCAGTACCTCCAAAAAGGTTAAGAACCACTGCTTTAGAGCATAAAGGTAGCTGTAGTAAAAAAAATTTTAATGTCTATAGCTAAAAGAAAAATGTACATACTGCTGAACATTGCTCGTTTGCAAAGAAATGATTTCCTAAAGTCTACTCCACATAATTATAGGATACAGTAGAGCTGTGGAGAAGAACCAATGAGATCAGCAGGGGAACCAGAATATCGACACTCAAGGAAGTGTTGTGTGTTCCAGCAAACTTCAGGAGACGATTTCTCAGCAATGGAGCAGTGTTAAGAAATGAAGGTGGCAGGAAATGTAAGCTTGTACACTTTTCTTTTACAGGCAGACATTTTCTAGGAAAATTACTATATTGATAGAGTGGCTTTAAAGTGATTCCAAAGACTTATTGAACCGCTTCCCCACCACTGTATAGCAGAAATACTGCTACATGGTGACAGGACTGTGTAAAATCACATATATACAGTTTACGAAATTGATTTTGATATTTCCCAGGTAGGGGGCGATGTGTCATCTACCCACCCGAAACCATTGGTAGCTACAGATGTTTTCGAACACCATGTTTATTCCCGGCCGGAGATTGGGACAAAACACCCAGGGTAAAGAAAAGCAAATGTCCATTTTGATGAGCACAAACCTCCTTTCAATTTTGACAAAACATTTATTGGCACCCTTTCACAACTGCCTTAAATAAGAATGCTTACAAGCATGTGATGCTCCTGTAAACTCACCTGCTACAGGCAAGTAACAGGTGTGGGCAATATAGAAATCACACCTGAAAGCAGATGCAAAAAGGAGAGACGTTCACTTAACCTTTGCATTGTGTGTCTGTCTGTGCCACACTAAGCATGGACAACAGAAAGAGGAGACGAGAACTGTCTGAGGACCTGAGAACCAAAATTGTGGCAAAATATCAACAATCTCAAGGTTACAAGTCCATCTCCAGAGAACTAGATTTGCCTTTGTCCACAGTGCGCAACATTATCAAGAAGTTTGCAACCCATGGCACTGTAGCTAATAACCCTCCCTGGTCGTGGACGGATGAGGAAAATTGATGAAAGATTGCAACGCAGAATAGTCCGGATGGTGGATAAGCAGCCCCAAACATGTTCCAAAGACATTCAAGCTGTCCTGCAGGCTCAGGGAGCATCAGTGTCAGCGCGAACTATCCGTCGACATTTAAATGAAATGAAACGCTATGGCAGGAGACCCAGGAGGACCCCACTGCTGACACAGAGACATAAAAAAAGCAAGACTACAGTTTGCCAAAATGTACTTGAGTAAGCCAAAAGCCTTCTGGGAAAACGTCTTGTGGACAGATGAGACCAAGATAGAGCTTTTTCGGTAAAGCACATCATTCTACTGTTTACCGAAAACGGAATGAGGCCTACAAAGAACAAAACACAGTACCTACGGTAAAATATGGTGGAGGTTCAATGATGTTTTGGGGTTGTTTTGCTGCCTCTGGCACTGGGTGCCTTGACTGTGTGCAAGGCATCATGAAATCTGAGGATTACCAAAGGATTTTGGGTCGCACTGTAGGGCCCAGTGTCAGAAAGCTGGGTTTGCGTCCAAGATCCTGGGTCTTCCAGCAGGACAATGACCCCAAACATACGTCAAAAAGCACTCAGAAATGGATGGCAAAGAAGCGCTGGAGAGTTCTGAAGTGGCCAGCAATGAGCCCAGATCTAAATCCCATTGAACACCTGTGGAGAGATCTTAAAATTGCTGTTGGGAAAAGGTGTCCTTCCAATAAGAGAGACCTGGAGCTGTTTGCAAAGGAAGAGTGGTCCAAAATTCCGGGTGAGAGGTGTCAGAAGCTTATTGATGGTTATAGGAAGCGACTGATTTCAGTTATGTTTTCCAAAGGGTGTGCAACCAAATATTAAGTTAAGGGTGCCAATACTTTTGTCCAGCCCATTTTTGGGGTTGGGTTTTGTGTGACATTATGTCATATTTGCTTTTCTGCCTCTGTTTTATATTTGTTCCAATACATACAAAGGGAATAAACATGTGTATAGCAAAACATGTGTTAATGCAATACCTTTTTTGTGTGAAATACTTGATTTTCAGGAAAAATATCAAGGGTGCCAACAATTTCGGCCATGACTGTATATTTACGTGATTTTGCATTTCCGGGTAGGGGGCGAGGTGTGTCATCCTACCCACCCCGCCATTGGTAGCTACAGATGTCGAACACCGTGTCCCGGCCGGAGATTCCCCATCGGCACCCAGTAATCGGTGTTATGTCCTTTTGATGAGCACAAAATACCTTTCAATTTTGCCAAACATTTTATGAGCATTCACAGATCTTGTCCCTTCCCCGGCCTAACTGCTTACGTGCCGCTCCTATAGCAGAAATACTGCTACAGGGCAGCACGGGTGCGCAAAATCACGTATATATATATATATATACATGATTTTGCAGTTCTGGGTAGGGGGCCCTACCCGCACCGCCATTGGCGGCCTCGGCTGTCAATCTCCGGGTTCCGGACGGTGATTCCCTGCCGGCACCCGGCAATCTCTGAGTATTACCAATGGGGGAGAGACCTGTATGTAAACAATACAGATCTCTCCCCTGTCAGCTCCATACAAAGCAGTGTGCTTACAGTGTAAAGCACACACAGCCCACATAGTAAAACAGCACACAGTTAACCCTTTGATCACCCTACATGTTTAACCCCTTCCTGCCCAGTGCCATTAGTACAGTATCACTGCTTTTTATTAGCACTTATCACTGTATTGGTGTCACTGGAGATGTCAGTGACACCAAGTCAGTTCCCCCCAGTGTCAGAATGCCCGCCGCAGTCCTGCTATAAGTCGCTGATTGCCGCCATTACTAGTAAAAAAATAAATCCCAATATATATACCGCCATTTGTAAACGCTATAACTTTCAGGTAAACCAATTAATGTACATGTATTGGGGTTTTTTTTTAGCAAAGACATGTAGCAGAATACATTTTGCCCTAAATTTATGACAAAATTTGATCTTTTAAATTTTTTTGCTGGACATGTTTTATAGCAAAATAACAAAAATATATATTTTTTTTTTCAAAATTGTTGATCTATGTTTATTTATAGCGCAAAAAAATAAAAGATGCACAGGCGATCAAATACCACCGAAAGAAAGCTTTATTTGTGGGAAAATATTACATAAATTTCATTTATGTACAGCGTTGCATGACCACATAATTGTCAATTAAAGTAACGCACCACCTTATCACAAAAAATGTCCTGGTCAGGAAAGATGGTAAATCCTCAGGAGGGCAAGTGGTTAAATTATAACTAGTTTTTTACCTGGCAACAACTATTAACTGTTAAACCGTGGTTAAAAAAATAAATAAATAACATGCATATCTATACTTACCTGCTGTGTGTAGTGGTTTTCCACAGAGCAGCCCAGATCCTCCTTTTCTCAGGTCCCCCACCGGTGCTCCTGGCCTCTCCCTCCTGTTCTTGGGTGCCCCCACAGTAAGCAGCTTGCTTACACACAGAGCCGCGGCTTGGGCCTGCCCACTCTCTCTTCTCATTGGCTCACTGGCTGTGATTGACAGCAGAGGGAGCCAATGGCTCCTGCTTCTGTTTCAGCCTATGAGAAAGAGGGAGTACCGGGATAGCCAAGACTCCAGTGCACATTGCTGGATCGAAAGGGGGCTTAGGTGAGTATTAGAAGGTGCTCGGGGAGATGCTGCACAGAGAAGGTTTTTTACCTTCATACATAGAATGCTTGAGTCTTCACAACCACTTTAATGTGTATCCATAACCGATTTTTTTATAGAATGCATTAAGGTTAATAGAGATTTCAATTCATTTTCTGTTCTGGGAACAACCTATAACAACATTAAGTGCCCAACTAGTGGATATGTGTTGCAGGGAACTCTTTACAATATGATAAGTAAATATATCTTCACTGTCAAGGCCTAGCAAAGTTTGAAAAATGATGGGAACCCTGATTGGCTTCTCCAGGTCTGGCTCAACTGGATTTGGTGTTACATAGATTATTGTAATTCTATAAGCTGCTCGAGGGTAGTACGTACGTCCCCGGAAATCAAGCTTGAAACCATTTATATCCTGATCTGGAAATGACTGAGGCTATGGATACCCTATGGATAATTGTTCCATGTCAGCTGATTTACACCAATGTACACCAGTCTTTTTTGTCCTGTACACTACTTTCCTATGGCTACTGGCTGTATACACTGAACATTTTCTGCTTTGTTTTCTTTCAAGTATTGTATGTCTGAAAGTTTAAGAAAACTTTTGTTTTCTGATAAAAAAAAAAAAAACAGGAAGTGAGCATTACCCTGTTTAACTCAGGAAAAAAAAAAGTTAAAAAAAAACTTGCTGTTAGAGAGATTTACTATTCCTTCCTGTCCTAGAGACAAACTTTTTATCAAACTGATGGAATCAGTCCTACGGGACCCTTTATGGCAGTAAAACCTAAGTTCTAATCCTTTCCCACTCTGTCCAAAACTAACACAGTATCAATGGCAGGTAATGTGCAGGTAACAAAAATTTATATAAAATAAATGTGATGATGTGATCAACATCTATTATATTGCACTAATTGCATTTTATGTGTAAAGAAGCTGCCACTATATATAAACCAAAAAAACATTTTAAATTAAAACACCAAATTGATAAAGTGTTTAAAGTGGCGCTGGGTGAATAATCAATAATAAATACAATGATAAAAAAAATATAATAATGAAAAAATATCTCGTAAATGCCCATAAAACTCAAATTGTGATAACAAAAATGTATAAATAGTCCGTGATTACTGTACAAAAAACAATCGCAAACTTAAAAGTAAAATAATCCAAAATCCATGAAATTAAATCTTCTATTTCACCATATACAGCAAACTTAAAACAAAGTGCTCCATAGGATTCCCCCACATGGATGTAAACTCACCACAAATATTTGCCTTTCACTCTCGTGGCTGGCAAACAAGCTTCCTGGGACATGTTTCCCATTTAAAGATGGATTATAGATCACTGGAGATAAAGATTCCACTTTTTAATTGGAACGGCAGCTCCTGTTATTTTTCAAAACCGTCAAGGAAAAAAAAGATCTTTTCCTTGCAAGATGGCAGCTTGGAGGCCCTCTGTACACTGAACGGCTTCCGAAATCTCACTTCCTGCCTATGTGATTGGCTCACTAATCTATAAAAAATTATCTGCGCTTAGTGAAACAAAAACCAAAAAGAGTGCTGTTCCCAAAAATGTTGAATAACAGCCTTATAGCAATCTAAATGTACACTTGGTGCGCATCTCTACATTTATAACAATACAATATACACTTAGGAACCTTTTCAATACAAAAAGGCTAACAAACCACAAATTTATAATAAATAAGTGCAATCCGCCATATGAAAAGTGAAACCAGCCATATAAAAAGTGATACAAATTTTTGTTGTGAAACGTTCTGTCCTGTGCCAAAACAACCATGCAGAACCTGGAAAATAACATAGTTCTTTAGGCAGAGGTGGCCAAGATAGGCAAAGATCGATCTGTAGGGTTCATATTCATTACATCATCCTAAATGTATTTTGCTAAATGTAAGTAGTGCAAGTACCTGAATTGGAATCAGTCTCTTGTAACACCTGTACAGCAGAACTCATCAGCCTACTGCTTCTCCTTTCACTGTTCAGTCTTAACCACTTGCTCTCCAGAGGATTTACCCCTCTTCCTGACCAGGCCATTTTTTGCGCTATGGTGCTGCGTTACTTTAACTGACAATTGCACGGTCATGCAACGCTGCACCCAAATTAAATTTATGTCCCTTTTTTCCAACAAATAGAGCTTTATTTGGTGCTTTTGATCGCCTCTGCGTGTTTTATATTTTGCGCTATGAACAAAAACAAAAACGATAATTTTGAAAAAAAAACAATATTTTGGACTTTTTGCTATTAAACATGTCCAGCAAAAAAAAAAAAAAATAAAATTTCGTCATACATTTAGGCCAAAATGTATTCTGCTACATGTCTTTGCTAAAAAAAAAACCCTAAAAATATGTGTTTTACGTGAAAGTTATAGCGTTTACAAATGGCGGTATATATACTGGGATTTTTTTTTTTTACTAGTAATGGTGGCGACCAGCAACTTATAGCAGGACTGCGGCGGGCATTCTGACACTGGGGGAAACTGACTTGGTGCCACTGACATCCCCAGTGACACCAATACAGTGATCAGTGCTAATAAAAAGCACTGACACTGTACTAATAGCACTGGGCAGGAAGGGGTTAACGTGGGGCGATCAAAGGGTTAACTGTGTGCTGTTTTACTATGTGGGCTGTGTGTGCTTTACACTGTAAGCACACTGCTATGTATGGCTCCAAAGCAGTGTGCAGGAGCTGACAGGGGAGAGATCTGTATTGTTTACATACAGGTCTCTCCCCTGTTGGCAATACTTGGAGTTCGCTGGGTGCCAGGAGGGAAACACCGTCCGGGACCCGGGGATTGACAGCCGAGACCGCCAATTCTGATTGCGGGTAGGGCCCCCTACCCAGAACTGCAAAATCATGTATATATACGTAATTTTGCACACCCATGCTGCCCTGTAGCAGTATTTCTGCTATAGGGTGGTGCGGAAGCAGTTAGGCTGGGGAAGGGACAAGATCTATGTATGCTCATAAAATGTTTGGCAAAATTTAAAGGTATTTTGTGCTTATCAAAAGGACATTACAAAAACCTTTCACTGGTATACTTAGTGACCATAGAAGTTCATTGCTAGGGTTTCCGTCCATATAAATGCACACGTACACTCACCGGCCACTTTATTAGTTACACCTTGCTAGTGCCAAGAAAATATCCCCCAATATTCCCAACACCATTACACCACCACCACCAGCCTGAACTGTTGATACAAGGCAGGATGGATCCATGCTTTCATGTTGTTTATGCCAAATTCTGACCCTACCATCTGAATGTCGACAGCAAACAGTCTGACCATTCTCCTCTGGCCTCTGACATCAACAAAGCATTTTTGTCCACACAATTACTGGATATTTTCTCTTTTTCGGACCATTCTCTGTAAAATCTAGAGATGGTAGTGCTGTGATAATCCCAGTAGATCAGCAGTTTTTTAAATACTCAGACCAGTCCATCTGGCACCAACAACCATGCCGCGTTCAAGTCACTTAAATCTCCTTAATTCCCCATTCTGATGCTCGGTTTGAACTTCAACAAGTCATCTTCACCACGCCTAGATGCCTAAATGCATTGAGTTTATGCCTCGTAATTGGCTGATTAGCAATTTGTGTTACCAAGCAATTGAATAGGTGTACCTGAGAAAGTGGCCGGTGAGTGTATGTAACCTTCAGACCATATGGACAGAAAATACAAGTGTTTTGACAGGTAACACAACTCATAGATTTATTTAATCTGTGTATTTAGCTGTTTGTCCACAGTTCAGCTTTACAGTGAATATAAAAAGTCTACACACCCTTGTAAAATGTCAGGTTTCTGTGATGTAAAAAAATGAGACAAAGATTCATTTTTTCAGAACTTTTTCCACCTTTAATGTAACCTATAAACTGTACAACTCAGTTGAAAACAAACTGAAAAATTAGGTGGAGGGAAAAACAAATAAAAAACTAAAATAATATGGTTGCATAAGTGTGCACACCCTTACACTAATACTTTGCTGAAGCCCCTTTTGATGTGATTCCAGCACTCAGTGTTTTTGGCTATGAGTCTGTCAGCATGGCACATCTTGACTTGGCAATATTTGCCCACTCTTCCTTGCAAAAACACTCCAAATCTGTCAGATTGCGAGGGCATCTCCTGTGCACAGTCCTCTTCAGATCACTCCACAGATTTTTGATCGGATTCAGGTCTGGGCTCTGGCTGGGCCATTCCAAAACTATAATC